AGCACTCCAGCCTGGGGGACAAAGCGAGACTCTGTCTTGGAACAAAAAAGAAAAAGAAAGAAACAGACAAAAGTCCCTGTCTTAGTGGTGGAGCTTATATTCTAGCTGGAGAGACAAACATAATAGACAAGAATATGGTTAATAAGTGCTCTGGAAAAATGAGAACAAGTAAGGGTTTGGGAATACTCAAGTAAGGTGGGCATGGGAGTATGTGGGATTGCAGGTTGAAAGGGGATCATCACTGAGAAAGTGTCATTTGAGCAATAACTGAAAGGAAGTAAGAATAAAAACCAAGGCTGGACGCGGTGGTTTACACCTGCAATCCTAGTACTTAGGGAGGCCGAGGTGGGTGGATCACTTGAGCCCAGGAGTTTGAGACTAGCCTAGGCAACATGGTGAAACCCCATCTCTACAAAAAAAACAAAAAAATTAGCCAGGTGTGGTGGCAAGCACCTGTGTTCCCTACTTGGGGGTCTGAGGCAGGAGGATTGCTTAAGCCCAGGTGGCGGCTGCAGTGAGCCGAGATGGTACCACTGCACTCCAGCCTGGGTAACAAAGTGAGACTCTGTCTCAAAAAATAAAAAAAATTTAAAAAAAATAAGAGCCAAGAAATATCTGGAGAGAGAGCATCCCAGACAGAAAGTACCACCAGTGTATGGCTGTGAGGTGGGATGTACCTGAAACAGCAAATGGGCTGTGTCCAGAGCAGCATGAGTGAGTGGAGGAATATGGTAGGAGATGAGATCAGAGAGGTAATGGGGAAGGAAGGGCCTTATAGGCTACTGCAAACACTAGCTTTTATTTTAAGTAAAAAATAAGATCAGGCCGGGGTGGTGACTCACACCTGTATCCCAGCACTTTGGGAGGCCGAGGTAGGCAGATCACCTGAGGTCTCTACTGAAAATACAAAAATTAGCTGGGTGTGGTGGCAGGTGCCTGTAATCCCAGCTACTTGGGAGTCTGAGGCAGGATAATCACTTGAACCAGGAGGCAGGGGTTGCATTGAGCCGCTGAAATTGTACCACTGCACTCCAGCCTGGGCAACAGAGCAAGACTCCTTAAAAAAAAAAAAAAAAGAGCCAGGTGTGGTGTCTTATGCCTGTAATCGCAGCACTTTGGGAGGCCAAGGCGGGCAGATCACAAGGTCAGGAGTTTGAGACCAGCCTAGCCAATATGGTAAAACCCCATCTCTACTAAAAATACAAAAATTAGCTGGGTGTGGTGGTGGGCACCTGTAGTCCCAGCTACTTGGGAGGCTGAGGCAGGAGAATCGTTTGAACCCAGGAGGCAGAGGTTGCAGTGAGCTGAGATCGCACTATTGCACTCCAGTATGGATAACAGAGTGAGACTCCATCAAAGAAAAAAAAATCACTTTGACTGTGATCTTGATTTTTTCTTTTTTAACAAGATCACTTTGGCTGTTAAGAACAGGCAATAGCCAGGCGCAGTGGCTCACATCTGTAATCCTAGCACTTTGGGAGGCAGAGGCGGGTGGATTGCCTGAGGTCAGGACTTCAAGACCAGTCTGGCCAACATAGTGAAACCCTGTCTCTACTAAAAATACAAAAAAAAATTAGCCAGGCATGGTGGTACGTGCCTGTAATCCCAACTATTCGGGAGACTGAGTCAGGGGAATTGCTTGAACCAAGGAGGTGGAGGTTGCAGTGAGCTGAGATCGCACAATTGCACTCCAGCCTGGCAACAGAGTAAGACCCTAACAAAAAAAGAAAAAAAAAAAAAAAAAGAAAGAAAGAAAAGGCAATAAGGGAGCAAGAGTAGAAGCAAGTAAACTAATTAGCCAGCAACAATCCTGGTGAAAAATGATGGTGGCTCAGACCAAGGTGGTAGCAGTAGTGAAGGTAAAGAGTGGTCAAATTTTAAATATTTTGAAGGTAAAGCAAGTAAGATTTTCTGACAGATTGTATGTGGAGAAAGAGGACTTTAGGACAACCCCAAAGTCTGAGCAGCTGGAAGAATGAAGTTGCTTTAACTGAGACGGTAGGTAGACCAACTTTGGAGGAAAATATTAGGAGTGCATTTTTAATATGTTAATTGGAGATGTCTGTGATACGTCCAGGTTTGAGTAGACAGTTGGATACTTCCCTAGAGATCAGGGAGGAGGTTTGGGGAGGAGTGTTTTCAGCATACATCTGGTATTTAAAGCAAAGAGACAGGATGTGATCACCATAGAAAGATTACAGATAGAGAAGCTACCCTGGCCAGGCACGGTGGCTCACGCCTGTAATCCCAGCACTTTGGGAAGCCAAGGTGGGTGGATCATGAGGTCAGGAGATCGAGACCATCCTGGCTAACACAGTGAAACCCCATCTCTATTAAAAATACAAAAAAAATTAGCCAGGCGTGGTGGTGGGCACCTGTAGTCCCAGCTACTCGGGAGGCTGAGGCAGGAGAATGGCGTGAACCTGGGAGGCGGAGCTTGCAGTGAGCCGAGATCTTGCCATTGCACTCCAGCCTGGGCGACAGAGCGAGACTCTGTAAAAAAAAAAAAGCTGCCCCTTTGGGCCTTCCCCTTGGGCCCTCTTTAAGAAGTGAGGACCCCCAACTGGCTGCTCTGAAAAGCCATCTTTGCATTGTTCCTGGTTCGGTGTCCTGCTCATGGCAGCCACCTCCGCCATGCGCTTCCTCTGCTGTCTCACAGTCTGGCAGCTTAATCGACATAGTCCCCAAACTCTTGCTTTCTTCTTAATCCCTTGCATCGGATCACCGCTGTGCTCCACCATGTCAGATGCAGTTGTGGACACAAGCTCCGAGATCACCACCAAGGACTTCAAGAAGTTGTGGAGGAGGCAGAAAGTGGAAGAGATGCCCATGCTAACAGGAACGCTAGTGAGGAAAATGGGGAGCAGAAGACTGACAA